AACAGCAGCAGAAACAACAGCAGCAGAAGCAGCAACAGCAGCAGAAACAACAGCAGCAGAAGCAGCAACAGCAGCAGAAGCAGCAACAGCAAATGTTTCATTAGCTTAGGCAGAAGTAGAAGTAGTTTACACACAAGTTGTTTGCAGTTCCAATTTCCCGCATTTGTCCTCACAACTTCCCTTATTGGGCGGGTGTTGCTATTTGAACCGTTCGCAGTGAGTTGACGACACGGCCGGGGCAACGTGAACTCACATGCCTGCCAGCATAACATTGGCGTAGTGTGCGAGACTGAATAGAGTAAAGTACACTCTTCTATCAAACTCAAACTCAAACACTAGTACTGGACCGTCAAGTAGCACAAGAGCGCCCCATCTCGCCAGAACGCCCCATCACTGACCGATGGTACTGACCTTCTACAACTAACTGGCTATTAGCTCTAGCAAGTCTTGGATGCACACTCCAACAGCCTTCCAACTTGGAATGTTCTTAGTTTCATGATAACATAGGAGGGGAAGGTGAGCACAACCAAGACAAGCACAAGCTGAAAGTCTTAGCTGTGAACGCCGATGTACATGCATGTCCATGACGATACTGGCAAGACCATTGGACAGTACGGTCAAACCAAGATTCAAGGACGCATAGCAACATAGCACACAACTTGCGTGGCTCTAAAGATTCAACATGCATGAGCTGATTGTCAAGTAACTGGTGGTGTTAGTGGACATTATAGCGTAACTTGTTGTTCCTACAAAATAATCAACAAAGCGTTGCAACCCATACCCTCTGAGCAATGACACAAATTTCACTAACAAGGCTAAGAGAAATTTATATTTTAGATTACAAGTCATACAGTACCGTATTTTCCGGAGTATAAGCCGCACCCCCCCCCCCACATTTTTTTGCCATGAAATACAGACATCTATTTGCTGATCACTGTTATTTTGGTCATTGGAATATAAGTCATTCTTTTGGGTGAATTTTGAGTGTTCAAAGTGCGGCGTTGTCTCCAGAAAATACGGTACGTAATCCCAATACCATCGACATGACGGAAACCTCGTGCCCATGCACGGTCACTTTGTCTAGCCAACTCAACCACACATGAGAGTGTGTGCATGACTATACACACACACATCCTTGAACCTTGAACTTGCCCATTGCCAGAGGCAATGATAGAGAAAGGACTAATATGGCAGCAACCGGCAGAAAGGTTCGTGGCACACAATACACACACACACACATACTGTGCAAACACACACACACACACACACACACACACACACACACATACTGTACGCACACACACACACATACACGCGCACACATGCTGTACACACACACACCTTGACCTTGCCCATTGCGTAGCAATGATAGCGCATAGTTATTTCTCCAGTCCACAGCAGAACGACTGATGGCGTTTCAGGTCGCCGCTTTGACGGAACATGCGGCCGCAGGCGCAACCGTAGCCAGCAGCAGAAGGGTGCCTTGGGTGGTCGACTGGCAATGGTACACCACTCCGGACTGTTCTGGGCTGCACCGTACCATCAACATGTTGGTACCGGTGGCTCAACCGACGAAACGTCATCCATAATGACGTCCCTCCACCTCTTGCCCGGACTATGCGCGGGACGCGGGGCAGGCAGTTCACCGAAGAGAACACACTTGGGCAACCGGTCATCTTCCATCCGTGTCACGTGTCCAAGCCAGCGCAAACGCCGCTCCCGTACGATGTGACCAATGTCCTCAGGCACTCCAAGGGTCTTTGGAAGGGCTATGGACGCAAGCACACGCACACACACACACATACACACACACTTGTACTTGTTGCTCACTGCCAAAACTGGGTCACGTGGGTCTCCCCGGGAGAGGGGAGAGAGACTCAAAAGGAATCTTGGAAAGATGACTCTATTGGCAATTGAACCGCCCAATGGCTGAAACCCCCTGAAATCCCCAAGACTCTGGGTGGACTTGAAAATGATCCCACTTATGGGCTCACCACACCTCAGTAAGTGGGCGAGGACAAGTTGCAGAAAAAGGATTGACGGAATCAGGGTATCCGTCCTGGGATCCAACTGCAGTTACCCCTGCCCCCCAGTGAAGGTAATACTTGCTACTAGTGTGGGTGGCTAAATCAGAGTGGATCTGATACAAGCTTCACTAGCACCATTGATTACACAAGAGTTAATCTAGCCAGAAGCAGTCCATGGTTAACAGGTATGTATACTTCAAATAGAAAGTATATGAACCCTGAAACCAACAAAGGTGGCAGGTACAACATTACACCTTCAAGCAGCCGAGCCCGTTGGCAACAGACCCAACACAATCAGGCATAAGTGTACCTACCAACCGAACTAGCTGGCACTAGTCTAGAGTTGTCGTTGTCCTGTTCTCCTTCTTGTCTACACTCTTGTACTTGCATAATTCAATACTATAAAACTCTTGTGTTTTGGTGTGAGGGGACTTCATTAGCCGGGAGCAGCTAACACTGGTGGCAGCGGTGGG